TTAGACGCAGAGGCAGCCATAGATATCAAACACAGGATGAAGCATGTCGGGTTATCCGAGCTGGGCGCGGGCCTTCGCAGCTGCGGAGGCGCGGCGGGTCGAACGTCGAGGTGCGACGCGCTGAATCGCCTGGCGGGGTTGGGTTCTGGGCTTTCTGCAGCTCAGCGGTCAGATTTTGAGTGGTTTCGGCGGGAATGGGACGCCGCTGGCATGGAGGACTTCGGTGGAAAGTGGCCGGAGACGTTTGCCACATGGTTGCAGAACGTCATAGACGAGTACTTGGGAGGCAACCCGAGAGCTTTCAGCATGTTTATGCACAGTGAGACGCGACGCCGTCTGTCTGGCTCCCTGGCGCTTGCGCTCCCTGCAGCTGGGGGCCTCTGAGAGGCGCGGCCCGCCGCAGCAGCGGCGAGGCGCGGGGTGTGAGTTCGGGCAGCAGCCGCTGCTCTTCCACCTGGCTGCGACTGAGGTGCCGCGCGCGCGCGCGGACGTAGTGCAGGCCCTATGCAGAAGAAACAGGGAGGAGGGAGGACGGGGGAGGAGGTGAGAGGAGGGGGAGAGCAGGCAGGGGGAGAAAACCACGCGGGTGTCGATCACTCCGCCCCTCCTCCTGCTCTCCCCCCTCCTTCTCCCTGATCACCCTCCTGGTCATTATCTCATTCCTCCCTCCTCCGCGTCCGTCTCTCTCTCTCTCTCTCTCTCTCTCTCTCTCTCTCTCGTTATCGTCGTCCGTCTCTCTCTCTCTCTCTCTCTCTCTCTCTCTCTCTATATATATATATATATCCCTCTCTCACTATCTCCCTGTCTCTCCCTCTCTCTCTCTCTCTCTCTCTCTCTCTCTCTCTCTCTCTCTCTCTCTCTCTCTCTCTCTCTCTCTCTCTCTCTCTCACTTCCTCTCTCTCTGCCCGCCCTTTCCTTCCCTATCCGCCCCGTCTTCCTCCTCTTCGCCCCGCCCCCCTCCTTCCACCGCCGTTTCGGCCCCAGGAGTCCGGCTCTCACGGCCGCCCCCCCTGCAACGCGGGGGCAGCGAGTGATGGCCGCGGCCAGCAGCAGCAGCAGCAGCCCACTGGGCCCCGCAGGAGCGGGGCCTCGGGGCCGACTGTCGGCAGTGTACACAGCGAAGTGTGGGAAGGTTTGGCTACCTGTGGGTGGTCACGAACAACCCTGGAAGGGTCCTTGGGCCCCTGTGTCAGAGGGCGCCCCCGCAGCAGCGGGGGCTGCGCCGTCTGGCGTTTCAAGCTCAGCAGCGGCGGCGCGATCAGAAGTTTCTACGATGCGCACCCGCCCAGGCGACTCGGTGGTGGATCCGAGCGATGACGAAGAGCCTCAGGAAAAGCGGCGCGATCAGCCGGCCTTTGGGGGCTGCGCGCCGCCCGGCGACGTCGAGCGGCGCAGGTCGGTTCACCGCGACACCGTCCCGCTCCAGCTCTTCTGCGAGCGTAGAGCGGCTGAAGTGAACAGGCAGCGGAACGACAACGTGGGCAACCTTTCCGTCCTGTTCGGGAACTGGGGCCCCATGCCGAGCGAGACCAACAACGCGGACCAGCGGCGGAGACTTGAGTTGCAGCTGCGGCATTGCCCTGCTCTCCTGGCGTGCTTTGCGGAATGTGAGGCGCAGATGGAGGCAATCCTACAGCGGCCAGGAAAACCACCGCCGCTGCAGGCGGACGCCCCCGCAGCAGCGGGGGCGTCAGCAGCGGAGGGCCCAAGCAGCAGCAGCGGTGGGCCTTTTGTCGCCCCCGCAGCAGCGATGGCGACAGCAAGAGGGAGTCGTGCTGCGAGTGTTGGCGATTGCCAACAGCTCCAGAATCGACCAGAGTACGAATACTTGACCCTGCGCGGGCGTGAGGACAAGTCCTTGTGCATCGCTGCGCGCGCAAACCGGCGCCGCGGAATGCGGCTGCTCCACTGGGAAAGGAGTGTCGACGGCCACTACAAAACTGAAAAAGGGAACAAGAGGGAAGCGTTCTCGAGGATCATGGTGGTTGAGGTCTCCTTCGATCAAACCTACGCCCACTTCGGCTCGGAAGTGCGGGCGTGCGCGGTGCACCTCCACCGCGACTCGGCGAAAGCTTCCAAAGGCTTTAAGGAGGCTCACAAGACGTGGTGGCCGAGGCTGGCGGCCATCTTGCAGGAGAACAAGGTTGACATCCTTTGTGGGGATTTCAACATGGCGCTCACACAGACGCTTCCGAGTCTTCGGGGTCTAGGCTTGCGATTGGAGACGGCAGCAGCGTACTTCTGGCGCGGATTGGACGGCACCCCGTGCTTGGAGAGCTGCGGCATCTTCGTTCTCAACAGGCCTGGCGAGTACACCCTGTGCTGGCCGCTGAGCGCCGTGCGCGACAGAGACGAGACGGGGTTGCTCTTCGCACGCAAGTCGGTGATCGGTGAGATCGGGTACCGGAACAGAAGCAAGGCAGAGGCCCCCGCAGCAGCGGGGGCCTCCACCAGCCCGTCATCGGGGCCGACGTACTGGCACCACTGGCAGGAAGGAGGCCCTGGGATGCCTTACGATCGCTACTACCCGAAAAAGGACGCCCGCGAGCACCTCCAGGATTTACTGACTCAGTCAGAGGAATGCCAACGCAAGATCCAAGAGAAGGAGCGTGAGAAACAGAGGCGCGCCGAGGCTGAGGCTAGAGGGGACCACCGCTTCTCTAGCGTTCACGAGGTGACCCTCTTCCGCGCGTTGCAGAAGACGCTCCCGCCGGAGGCCGTGGAGGTGGAGGGGCGCTGGCACGGCGGCGCCCACTACCCTCTCCCGTTCCAAATGCGCATGGCCAGCTCGCGTTCGAAGGGAAGGAAGCACGAGAGGCACAAAGAGAAGAAGGACAGGCGCGCCCAGAAACAGCAAGCAGCTGCGCTCCAGGGCGCCGCAGCAGCGGCGCCCGAGCAGCACGGACCCGAGCGCCAGGCGCCAGAGCAGCACCGCGAGAGGGACGAGCAAGACGAGCGCGCCCAACAGGCGTGGCGCCCACCAAGATGGGCAGACGAAAACGCGGACGGCGACCGCGACTGGCCCGCGGCTGGCGATGGAAGGTCGCGGCGGGGGGTTGAAAGGGGGAGGGAGGGGGGGGGGGGGCACGGGGAGGGCAGGAGGGAGGAGAGGGAATGAGGAATAGGCCGAGCAGGACGAGGGATGACACAAAGGAAATGGGCGTCGGGAAGGGGCGGGAGTTGACAGGAAGGGGATACTTATAGAAATAGTTACTTATCACCCCCAAGGTGGCGGCCGACCCCGCAGCGGCCATCTCCAGGGCCTGCGCCGCGGGAGCAGCGAGGGCAAGGGTTGCAAGAGCAGCGGCCGCGGGAGGCGCCGCGGCATCAGCCGCCAGAGCCCCCGCAGCAGCGGGGGCCACAGACGCCATGGCAGCGCCCAACAGACGGGGAGTGGCGCAGGGATGAGTGGCGCGGCAAATCGTGGGACTGGTGGCGCACCTGGGAGGGCGAGGAGCGCGAGTGGCAACAGCCGAGCGGCGAGGCTTCCTCGGTGCAGGACCGCAGGGTCGACTCCGCCTGGCGCGACATGCAAGTTGCATTCGGCAGCGACCCGCGCCCCAGTGACTGGTGGAGCAGCCGCAGTGGGTGGAGTGGCGGCCAGGGGCACTGGGAGGCCACGACCACGACGCCCCGGAGGCGGGTCGAACACCCCCCCGAGACCAATCCTTGGGAAGAACTTAGCCGGACCATCGCACAGGGGCCGCCCCTCCGCAGCAGCGGAGGGGGGCCTCATCGGCCGAACGTCGACCCTCCGCAGCAGCGGAGGCCTTGCCAGCGCATCGTGGGCGGCGGCGAGTCGCGCGCGCCGTCGTGCTCGGCGACCGCTGCCCGAGCGGAGAAGGAAAAAGAAACGGTGCATTCATCGGCGCTGTCGTTGCCTCCTCTCCTTCATCGTTTTCTTCTCCCTCCCCCTCCAATCCCCCATCCCGCCATCGCATTTTATCGCCTCCAATCGTATCGGGGGCTCCCGTGGCAGAAGAGCACCCAGAACGAGGTCCTCCGTGACAGAGGGGGGGCATCTTAGGCCCCTCTGTGACAGAGGGGGGCCAAAAAACAAATGATCACTTTAATGCGGTTTCTGGATCACCCGTGCCGCTACCCTTGCTGTGTTTGAGCCTTTCTTAGGGGAGCGAGCAATGACATAAACAGAAGAACTCGGAGGTCCGCGCGGATTTCTTGGATCCGCGCTGGGGCCCCCTAGCGGAGCCTCCTGCGCCGTTCCTGGCGCGTTCCGCGCGCCAGAAAGGAGATCGAGCGCGGACCCGAGAAATCCGCGCGGACCTTCGAGTTTTTATGTTTATGTCATTGTTTGTTTCCCTAAGGAACCCATACCGCTATCCTTGCTTGCTCGTCTTCGCCTTTTTCTGGGACTCCTGGGAGGCCCCCGTCGCCACCGCTGGATTCGCATCGAGTTTCTGGTCAGAATGCATCCCGGGCGAGGTCCTTGGAGCAGCGGTATCGGCACCGTTTGGTGTCCCCATGTTCTAGCCAGGCCCACTTTTCCAGGGCAACGATAGGGGGGGCGGGGGGGCTCAGGGGAGGATGCATCGACTCCCAGTCGCACACTCATCGCCGATAGGCGCCCGATAACACATGTCCGCCCAAGAGGGTGCGGCTTCGGCATCGGGGCGAGGGCATCGGGGGCATATTGCCGATCCATCTGCAGTGCTTCGCCGATGCAAGAGCTCAGTGTTCCCCCCCCCGGGGCCAGCCCCCCCTGACGTTGCCCCTGGGGGTCGGGAGTCACGGAGCGGGGGCAAGCGCTGCGCTGGCGGGGTTCGGCCATGTCTCTCCGGCGGACTTGGGCCTGGGAGCTAAATGTGTGCACGGGCCGTTCATTTTTCCTGTTTCTCCACTGTCCGGGGATAGCGCGTCCCCGACATTGGCCCAGGATCGGTGTACAGGGCCATTCCAGACAGGTGTTTCTACAAAGAGTCAAAGCACATGGTCATCCTGGCCAGACGGGTGTCGATGTACAGATGCGGTCGTCCTGATACCAGCCGATACGGTCGGGCAGGCCTGGCTACCAATCCAAGATCCCACGCGCGCTGTCTGAGGCCTGCAGGTTCGCAGCAAACCTCCAGCCTCGATTGCTGCGTTTGAAGAGCCTTGCGTGGTGCTAGCAGCTGCCTGCTCACTCTTCCAGCAAATGCTGGTGCGACGGTGGCTTCCGCACCCACACAGGCCAACTTCGGCGGTCTCGCGGACATTTGAATTCGTTCGTTCAGACCACACCGTGTCTGATGCTTCTTCCCCCCACCACCACCACCCCTCCCTCGCTTCTGAAGCCTCCTGCTCCTTCCACCCCACTTTCGGCGTCCATGTCGTGACCCGTAGACGACTCAGACTCGCCCGCCCGACGCACGAAGTTCTTCGACACCGCCACTCAGAGAGGCAGGAGGTCATGATAATGAGGCGCTCCAGCTTTCCAGCTTGTTTCGTTGTCCCGCGCGGCCTCGCATCCTGAGACGTTTCTTGAGCCAATCGCATCATGACATCGTTCTCGTCCTAGCCACGCCCCTCTGCCGCCTCCGCCGCAGGACGTCTCCCTTGCAATGCCTCACGCGCGACTTCTCGCCGCCTTCCTGGCGATTATTCAGGCAGCCCATACGGGGTCCCTCTTCGATCCGATCGGTCCGATTCGATGTCGCTTCAGGCCGGCTCGATCTGATTCGATGCCGGCAGTCCGACGAGCCGATACGGCCCGGAGGCAAGAGTGAGACGTCAACATTTTGGGGTTCAGGGTTTCCGGCATCGGCTATGTGGGGCCAGCGTGCATGGGTCACGCCGCATCGCCGATGCACCAGTGATGTGGTGTGACCAAGAGCCCAGTGTCCTCCATCCCGACGTATCCGATTCATCGCTGATATGGTGGCCCAGTTCCTCCTGGACAGGCAACGGCATGATGGCACCGGGTCGCCCAGTTCCCCTCCGTTCGCAGCACGTCCCCGACCTCGGCGCAGGATCGGCGTACACGGTCAGTTCAGGAAGGCGCTTGTACACCGAATCTGGGCCAATTGTCAAGGGCGCCCTCGAGGGCGCGAAGTTATTCGCGCTTCGCGGTTGGGCTCCGATTGTTCTTCGTCCTCCTCTTCTCCCCTGAGAGGCGACGCGAGAGCGCGAAAATTTTCGCACTTCGCGCTTCGCGCAGCGCGAAGCGCGAAGTTGGGAGCCCTTACGAATGTGGGCCAATTGTTGTCTTGGTCGAACGGGTGTCGGTGCACAGATGCCGCCGTCCTGACACCGACCGGCACGGTCGGGCAGGCGGTGCCCCCGGGCTACCAATGCAGGGCCCCACGCGCGGTGTCGGAGGCCTGCAGGTTAGCACCGCCACCGACACGGAGGACCACCTCCGCCGAGGGACGGCAGGGCTCATTTCGGTCCGATTGGATCGACCGATTTCGACACCGTTTCTGGTGGGGTCGATCCGCTTCAGTTCGGCTCGTCCGACGAGCCGATGTGGCCCGATGCAAGCGGCGTTTTTGTGCGTCCTGGCCGATCCGATGTCGATTTCGTGCCCATGCAGCCCGATCTGGCACACATTCCGAGTCGATCCGATTTCTCGATTCGATGTCGATTGAGTCTGGAGGGTGGCCCCCAGTTCCAGGCGATGATGCTCAGGAGTGAAGGGGGCCGAACGGTCTGACGTGTGACGTTGCCATTGGGTGCTTAGTTGCAGTGGGTTCTCAGAGCGTGAATTTCCTACCCCGCTTTCGCTTCCAGGCAAAACCAAGTCTTACCACGCGCCTCCTCGTCAAGCGGCCTGACCAGGACAGGCCGTGGTTTGGCACCGCTTGCTATCTTTTGGAAGCGAGGGTGGTCAAAAGCGAGGTAGGTTTGTTTTGCCCGTAGTTTCCGCGATGCGGATCATCACTGCCGTTGCTCCGCGACCCGCCACGCCCGACCCACCCCCGACCCACCCAGGACGCCTGCGATCCGCCGACGACCCCCCCCCAGCGGCCGTCGGGTTCCTCCTCCTCCTCCTTCTCCCCCTCCTCGTCCTACTCCTCCGTAGCCATGTTGGCTCAAGATGCTTGCACCTGAGGGCTTCCGCGCCCTCGTGCCACAGTGGGATAGCTCTGTTTCCCGAGCCAGACTATCCGAGTTTTCAGGGGTCCTCCAGCTGGAGGGCTCGCCAGCCCCATGGTACCGTTCCCTGATGTCCTCCGCGGCCCCAAATCTCCGTTCTGGGGCTGCGCCTGCGGCGCGGACAAGACATGGGCGAGCCGCACCAGGCGCAGGTGCGGGCGCGCTGCCCCTGCGCGCATTATCGACGCGGCCAAGGTGGAGCACACCAAGGCAGAGACGGCCGCTGCACAAGGGGGGAAGCCTGCCGCTGGAGGCCGCCGTAAAGCAATTCTAGCACCGTGGGCACGGGACGAGACTGCCGAGCTCCGCAAGCAGGTGGCCCTGCTTGAGCGCAAGTTGGCCAATGTCAGCATCCACGGCACCGCGCCGCCCGCCCAGAGTGACAGCGGCGCCGCCCAGACGGATGTTGGTGCCACGCGCGCGGAGATCCTCGTAGCGATCACGTACTACGAGAAATGCCTCATGGAACCCAACCTGCTTGTTTCTGTCAAGCAGGCGCACAAGTTTTAGCTCGAGACCCGCCGTGTCAAGCTCGGGAGCGTCCAGACGCCAGAGGCAGCACACCGTCGGGCCCAGCATATGCTCAATAATGCACATTCACAGATGGTCAAGCTCCAAAACGAGGCTCATAAGATGGAACAGCAAGTTGCAGACCTCCAGACCGCCCTGGAGAACAAGAAGGCAGCGATCACGACCATGCAGGCGGATATCGAAGGCTACAAGAAGGCATTCGCAGAGACCGCGAAGGCCGTCGCCCTCTGAGCGACGATCCAGCCAAGTGCCAGATTTCAAGTTCGCCAAGGAGGGGCCCCCCGAGGAGATCCGCAGCGCCCTCGCCACCCTGGGCGCCGAGGCCGCCGAGAAGCTGTTCGCGGGCCTCGAAGACCACGTGCGCAAGGCGGCAGCACCTACCTCAGACCCTGAGCTCATGCAACAGGAGCCGCCTGAGCAGCATGCTCATGAAGCCGGTGCTCCTCCTGTTGCTGGCGAAGGGGCCGCCGCTGGCAGTGGCGTCAAGCGTGACCTCGACCTCACTCCAGAGGAGTCCAAGGAATTGTTCGAGCTGGCCGCAACGGGCGGCGACCCCACCAGCGAGGGCTACCAAGAGCCCATGGCGCAGTTTCATGACGAGCTCGTGGCCATGCGCAGCGACAAGCGACAGCGGTTTTGACCCGCCCGTCCTTGCGAGCTGCGTCCCTACACGCCACGACCAAGTTCAGCCACCACCTGAAGCTGGTCGATGTAGCCAGTTCTTCGTCGAGTCTTTCAACGCCAACCGTGGCATTCGTGCGCTGAAAGAGAAGATGCAGGCTTCCACGGCGACGGTCCTCGTTGCCCAGGAGGCCGGCTTCACTGATAATGATAATAATAATGATGGTTTTGATGCCTGGGCAGGGCGCCGAGGGTGGAAGTGCCTGGCCAGCCCGGGAGCCAAGGCCTCAGGCACTACGCCTACCCAAGGAGTTGCAGTCCTCGCTCGGGAACATGTCGGTCTCCGAGGGCCTGACTGTTACTTCCCTGTGATTCATCAGCGGTGCGCCCTGCATGTTGTCGCGCGCCTTCCTGGCTGGCCGCCTCTGCGCATCATCGCTTCCTACCTCGTGGTCAACCAAGGCGCGCGTGGCAGGCATGCGCGCGCCCTCGCGCAGATCGCCTCTCGAGTTGCTCGGCTGGCCGACCCGGTGGTTTTGGCGGGAGAATGCGACCCCGAGAGACATCGAGGAGTCAGGCTTCCCGAGAGAGGCCAAGTTGGCGCTGCCGGCCCCCTCGCCCCCCGCGCGCGCCGCCCCCGGGCCCGGCCGCGCGATTGATTTCTTCGCGGTCAACACTGTGGCGAAGACTGCTGGAGCCAGCGCTCGTTGACATCGCGTGGGCCAAGCGGCCGCGCCGGACCATTCCCCTTGGATTGTCTACGGAAGGATTGAGGCAGCAGTACTTGGTATACACAGTCGCGAAGACGCTCGGCACTGAGCGCTTCATAGGCCCAGCGCGTGAAGGCCCTGATTGGCAGCGACCGCATTTGTTGGCTGAGGCTGCCGCGTCTGCAAGCCGCCAGGGACCAGTGCGCGAAGCTTGGGGCCTATTGTCGAGAGCGTGGGAGGTTTTTGACCATGCTGCCGAGATGGAGGCCCGCGCGGCCGCTGGACAAATGCTGTCGAGCAGCGCTGCGTGGGGAGCGCCGCCCAAAGCAAGATGGGTTGATTATCACGACCGAACTGAGAGCGCCTCCGGCGCGCATGCGATCTCCCGCGGATGGACATGGCCGGCCCAGTCGTTGGAGAATGCATGCGAGCTCCTGAGGCACACGTTCACCACGGCACCGCGCTTCGAAGCCGATGTGGAGGTCTTGTCGTCGGCAGAGTACTACGGCCAGGGCCTATGTGCACGTTTGGACTCCAGCGTCTTGGAGGCGCGGGTCGCCGTTGGTCATTCAGCAGTCAGAGCAGCGGGTGGGGATGGCCCCATTGCCAGCGCCGTCCACCGTGCACCTAGGCTCGGAAGTTGCAGCCGAGACCGCTCGCATGGACGCATCTCCAGTACAGGCAGCACAACTAGCAGACGGATTGGCCCCCGTTGCCCATGCTGCCGGGGTAGAAGTTGTGAGTGGATTTCCGGGCGCAGAGGAGCCTGAGTTTCTGTTCGAGGAGCCTGGTATTGACTACTAGGACGATTTCTTCGGCCTCAACGTGCAGCCTGAAGTGCATGTCTCTGCGCGCGCCAATTCGTCGGCACAGCGTGGCCACTCAAACGTGCCTGCGACCGAAGTGGCTCCTCCGAACGCCGCATTAGGACAAGTGAACGGATCTTCTTACGTCGAGAGAGACGGTGCTACCGCTGGCATTGTCTCCAAGCACCACCGGCGCAGCCAGCGCCGCGGCGACGACGCCGCGGCGGCGACGACGCTGGCTGCGCTTCGCCTCCACCGTGACTGCCACCAGGCGGCTGACATACTGGGGCAGTTCTGCAGTGACATAGTTGGCGACGCGCGGCGAGCTGAGCTGGGTGCGGTCAAGGGCGACCGCCAACGGCGGCAGGACTGGTGCGATTCGGCATCGTCAAATGGAGCGCGGGGGCTGCACCGTGCCACGCGTGTGCCCAACGCGGCCCACCCCACGGCGGCGCGAACTGCTGGGGGGCTCTCGGCGCACCCACGCGACACAGTTGAGGCTGAGGTGAGGAAAACTGAGGAGCTGTGGCACGCTAGCCAGTTCCCAAGCAAAGCCCGGGCACCCGACAGATCAGCGATGGAGCGCGCCGATGCGGGACCATCCGAGATGTTGCCATCAGTTTCCCGCGTGTCACTACAGCGAGCCTTGGCCGCGTGCCGCCCGCGTCACTTTGGCTTGCTCTCCCAAGGGGGGCGTGAGACAATGGCGGCGTTTTTTGAGGCCTGCGAGCGGATTGGCCTCCTGCCGCGCCAGCTCTGCTTTATCGTCATGCCGATGTTGGCGAAGCCCGATCAGGGCCACCGCTCGGTAATCCGGTATTCGGGGATGTACCGTGCATGGCAGCGCATGCGACGTCGTGACCTGGCTGCGCTACAGCAGCATGCGCGACGCCCCTACTGGGGCGCAGTCGCAGGCCGCAGAGCATTGGATCTCTCATGGCTTCAGGCAGCGCGCAGCTCGGCCGAGGTCAGCCAGAATCGCCTCACATTGCGGCCCACGATGGATTATAGCAAGTTCTACGAGGGCATCCCGCTTGAGGTCTTACGAGATCGTCAACAGGCCTGCGGTATGCCCATACCGATTTAAAAACTGAGGTTCAACACATGGCGTTCGCCTCGTATCATTCGATTGGGACTACATCATACTCGAAAAGTCTTGTCCGCCACAGTCGGCTTACCAGCAGGATGCACTTTTGCAGATGTTGCAGTCCGTGCGTTGACGATCACCGAGTATGACCAGCTTGTGCGTCGCAGCCCGTCAGTCGATTTCACGAGCTACACTGACGGCGCTGGAGTACACGTCAGCGGCCGAGATCGCGATGTGGTTGCAGGCGTTGCGGTCCAAGGTGGAGTTCGGTTTCAGGCAGTTTCGCGTCGGCTGCAGGCCACCCTCAATGATAAGTTTTCTGATGTTACCAGTGACAGTGCCTTGGGCATGGACGTGGCCACAAAGCTCGGACTGGCCAAAGATAAGTCTAAGCCAGTGGTGGCGCACCTCTGCACTGGCTTCAACTGTGGCCGTCGAGGCGGACAGGCACGCACAGCTGGAAAGAGGAAGTCTCGCCCACGGGAGTCTGCACAGCGATTGGCAACGGCGGCCAAGCTCAAGTCGATGAAAGCAGATGAGAGGCTCGGGCGAACGCACACCACTGGCACCAAGATGGCGGCTCATTACGGCGTGGAGGTCAATGGAGTCGACGACCAGGAGCTGCTCGCCATAGGCCGCTAGGCCATGCCCTACCTGGCGCCTGCGACGCTGGGCGCGAGCCTGCGCGCCAAGCTGGCGTTGCGTGGTGAGCCTGCGGTGCGAGAGGCCATGGCACCATCGCTCCAGTAGTCCAAGATGATATGGCAGGCTGTAGCTTTTCCGTTGGAGGCCCTTGTGAGCCTCGCAGAATTGGAACGGATGTGGGGCCGAGTTCTTTCCCAGGACTTGTCGGACGTGGTCTGGGCCCATGCCCGCGGGCCGATTTCCAGGGCCCGCTCTGCCTCGCTCGCGTAAGATGGAAGGCAGTCTCAGCCACTGCGTGGGTCGACCAAGATGGCATAACTATCCAGCTCGCGCAGTGCTCTCCCGCAGTGATAGGTAAGATGTTTACCGCTGCGTTCCAGGATGCCCATGAGAAGGCTCTGGGAGAGTTGGGGCTGTGCTGAAGGGGTCGGGGCTAAGACAAAATATGGCAAGTTCCAGAAATATTGAGCGCGGGCTGCAGTGTGTGACTGTTTGTGGACAGATCAGCTTGCTCATGGCAACGGATACCACTCATCCAGAGCGGGCCGCTGCGAGTGCTGCGGGCCTGACACTGTGCATCACCGCTTGTTTTGCTGTGACCTCCCAGCCGTCGCCGAGGCTCGTTGCGAGGCGCAGGCCCCGTCCACCTTCCTGGAAGAAGCTAGAGAGAACCGGGCCAGCCTGCTCCATACCAAAGGTGTTGTCCCGGTGCTCTCAGGGGACACCCCTCCTGTCGTCGGGGCCCCTGAGGCCGAGGTCCTGGGCGGGTCCGGGGAGGTTTGCCTTGGAATGGAGCCCGAGCAGGTTGTTCAGGTTGTAGGTCAGAATGTCAGCCTACACGTTGCGGTTTACGGCAGCAGCACCATGCCGATTTTGTCATGTTTACAATGTGCTGCATATGCGGTCGTTCTGTTCGCTCCCCAGTCCGAGACCACCCTGTCCGCTGTGCGTGGCACTGTGCCTGGAGGATGTCCGCGGGCCCCTGCGATGGCCGAGCATGTCTCGACTGCTGTTGCCTGTCAGATTGGAGATCGCCCTACGTGTATGCATGCCGATTGTAAAGCCGCCATCGCCCAAGCCCTTCTCCCAGAGCACGAACACCTTCGTGCGAGCAAGGTTTTTTGCAGGGGTCTCGGCTTTCGCCCGCTCGCTCAGCGGGCATGGCCATGTCAACTCCATCCAGCACGTTAAGGCTCATCGAAGCGAGGGGGCGATAGATAACTTGCCGCCTGCGGAGCGTGGTCCCGCGAGAGGTAATCGCGCCGCTGGCTTCATGCGAAGGAGGCTTTAAAATTGCACGGCCCCATCGGTCCTGAAGCGGCCAATCGTTTAGAGGCTGACGTCAAAACCGCCAGTCACTTGGTGCAGTTAGCTGCCAGCGTGTTGCCAGTATCCCAGTCGAGAGCGAAGCGAGAGAGGCCCTTCGCCCGACATCGCTCAGTCAAGTCCGCCCCTGGATGGCATGAGTGGGAGAGTGGACCGCTGGGCATTCAGTGTACGCATTGTCTGGTGGTTGCCCACGATGGGGCTCCCCAAGAGGCTCTGGGTTGCTCCAGGGCCCCCGAGTTCGTTCGTCTGGTCGTCCGCCGTTCTCTGGGGCACCTCCTCGTCGGTGTGGCCTTTCATGAGATCCACCCCAGAGCCCCAGAGCCCTCTAAGACTAAGCTGGGCCCCAGCAGCCGAGTCCGCTAGTTCATTGATAGAGCTGCGGCGGTCACTGCAATGTCTGTGGTCCGCAAGCCGCGCTGTAAGACTCTGGCTCGTACGTTTGTTCCATCGGCCCTGTCGGGTGCCCCCACCGCCCCTGAGTATGAGCGGCGGCTGGCCGCCCTCGCTGAGCGAGTGCGGGCCGAGGAGGCTACGAAGGCCGAGGAATAGTTTTGGCCGGAGGCACCCTATCGCGGGCCCTGGTCAGAGTGTGGGGAGTTCTGTCCTCCAGGGTGACAAATCCCTCTCTGAGGGGTGCCACGTCCCCCTTTTGTTTTAGTCTTGCGAGACTCTTCCCCTCGGGGCCGTCCTAATTAAACCTCCTCCTACTCATCCTCTTCCTCCTCATCGTCGTCCTCCTCCTCTTCCTCATCATCATCCTCCTCCCTTCCGCCCAATGTCGAAACACTGCCCATTCTCGCCCCCCCCCCCTTCCCCCCCCCGAGGGGCAGCTCCTCGCCGCGACGACGACGACGACGACCACGATGACGACGACCACGACGACGACGACGACGACGACGACGCAGATGACGACGACGACGACGACGACGCCGACGACTGCGCGCGACCCGGGGGTGACCCGCGCACGCCGAGACCCTGCGGGGCCATTATTACGTATGTCGGACGCCAAAGTCGGACACCGGAGGGGCCCCAGCACAACACGGCCAGCACCACTGTCGCGGGCCGGCCGACCTCGACGGAGGTGGCCTTGCGACCTTGGCGGTGGTGCCAAGCGACCGGCGCCCTGCACTGGCGGCGCGCTGCTGCCTGGGCACGGTTCGCCGTGATCGCAGCACCCTGCCCCTCCACTCCACACCTACTGCTGCCCTTCGCTCTGCCGATACTCCCCCAGCCTCAAGTGCTGCGTTTGAAGAGCCTTGCGTGGTGTCAGCAGCTGCCTGCTCACTCTTCCAGCAAATGCTGGTGCGACGGTGGCTTCTGCACGCACACAGGCCAACTTCGGCGGTCTCGCGGACATTTTAATTCGTTCGTTCAGACCACACTGTGTCTGATGCTTCCTCCCCCCACCACCCCTCCCTCGCTTCTGAAGCCTCCTGCTCCTTCCACTCCACTTTCGGCGTCGATGCCGTGACCCGTGGACGACTCAGACTCGCCCGCCCGACGCACGAAGTTCCTCGACACCGCCACTCAGAGAGGCAGGAGGTCATGATAAGGAGGCGTTCCAGATTTCCAGCTTGTTTCGTTGTCCCGCGCGGCCTCGCATCCTTAGACGCTTCTTGAGCCAATCGCATCATGACATCGTTCTCGTCCTAGCCACGCCCCTCTGCTGTCTCCGCCGCAGGACGTCTCCCTTGCAATGCCTCACGCGCGACTTCTCGCCGCTTTCCTGGCGATTCTCCAGGCAGCCCATACAGGGTCCCTCTTCGATCCGATCGGTCCGATTCGATGTCGCTCCAGGCCGGCTCGATCTGATTCGATGCCGGCAGTCCGACGAGCCGATACGGCCCGATGTCTGCGTTGTGTTTTCGTCCATTTGCCATCCAGTTCGGTTTCGACTCCGCTCCGACGCAGCCCGACACGACGCACATTTTTCGATTCGATCCGACCTGCCGACTCGATGCTGATTGCTCTTGCCCATGCAGGGTGCTCCAGAGGAAGCGTCGCCTTCGGTGCGTCTCGCCCTGGGCGGAAGGCCAGCGGAAGCAGAACGGCGTGGACCCCGCCGGCAGAAGAGCGGCGGACGGCGGCGGAAGCAAGCGTGACATGTCACAATGTTTGACGATTCGCGTGTCCCCACTTGCCCATCCAGACGCGATCGCACGCTTTCTTGAGGCCTCTCGGAGGCTATCTTAGGCGAAGCTCGGCTAGAGGTTGTCGGAGGCTATCTTGAACCATGCTCAGCTCTCCTGGGCCGTCTCGAGGCTGCCTTGAGGCCTCCTGGAGGCCTGTCGGAGGCAGGAGTGAGACTCATAAGACCATCTTGGAGGTAGGAGGAGGAAGAGGATGAGGATGAGGAGGAGGAGGAGAGTTTGCCTGGCGAAGGACCCAACCATATGCAGTTGTGAATACCGCAATTATGGATATCGCCCGCGCTCCGTATGGGGCCACGAACCGTGTGAGGGGCGTGCCGACATGCGTGGCGGGGCACACAACGCGAGCGAAGACGATAGTTGTGTGTGCGAGAGACAGAGCGAGTGAGTCTGATTGTGGATGAGTCTGCGCGCTCGTGAGTCTACGTGCAAAAATGTCGACGCCCATGTCGGCACGCCTCTCACGAGGATCGCGCCCGCTTCCTTCCTGTCCTTTTCTCCGTCTTTGCTCGTGCGCGCCCACGTCCATGGCTGCGGGCGCGGCTCCGCACGGAGTCCCCGCGACGCGCGCTGGTCGCCCCGAAGGGTTCCCGGCGATGCGCGCGGGTCGTCCGCTGCGCGGAGCAGAGAGAGCGAGCAGGCTGGCTCCCGCCCGGGATGCGCGTCCCGAAGTCGGCTTCAATACGTCGAGTAAAACGAAACATTTCCGAACATCGAAAATCGCCGCCATGCGAACTCCGGAATTGGGCCGCCATGCGAGTTCGGTCACGGAGACCTTGCGTGGAGTTCCGTGTGGGGACACGAAACGCTGTACTGGATGGTCGATGACGCATCCGGGCGGCCGCACTGGGGCATTCGGTGGAGCCACCTAATGAGGCCACGAAGCGCTGTATTGGGTGGTGGATGACGCATGCGGGCGGTCCCACGGGAGCCTTCGGTGGAGACCTCTGTGGGGCCACGAATCGCTGTATTGGGTGGTGAATGACGCACGCAGGCAGTCCCACTGGAGCCCTTCGGTGGAGCTCCCTATGGGGCCACGAAATCGTGTGCTGGGTGGTGGATGACGCCTGCGGGCGCTCCCACTGGGGTTTTCGGTGGAGCTCCCTATGGGGCCACGAAACCTTGTATTGGTTGGTGGATGACGCACGCGGGCGATCCCACTGGGGCTTTCGGTGGAGCTCCCGATGGGGCCACGAAGCGTTGTACTGGGTGGTGTATGACGCATGCGGGCGGTCCCACGGGGGCTTTCCGTGGGGTTCCCTATGGGGTCACGAAACGTTGCATTGGGTAGTGGACGACGCATGCGGGAGGTCCCATTGGGGCCTTCGGTGGAACCCCCAATGGGGCCACGAATCGCTGCACCGTGTGGTGGATGACGCATGCGGGCGGTCCCACGGGAGCTTTCGGTGGAGCTCCTTTTGTGGCCACCAAGCGCTGTACTGGGTGGTTGACGACGCATGCGGGCGGTGCCACTGGAGCCTTCAGTGGAGCTCCCTATGGGGCCACGAAATGTTTTGTTGGGTGGTGGATGACGCACGCGGGCGGTCCCAGTGGGGCCTTCGGTGGAGCTCCCTATGGTGCCACGAAGCGTGAGAGGGGTGTACCACGGAATGCTGCACTGGGTGGGGCTACGAAACGCTGCACTGGGTTGTGGATGGCGCATGTGGGCGGTCCCACTGGGGCTTCGGTGGGGCTCCCGATGGGGACACGAAACGTTGTACTGGGTGGTGAATGGCGCATGCAAGCGGTCCCACGGGAGCTTTCGGTGGAGCTCCCTATGACGCCACGAATCGATGTATTGGGTGATGGATGTCGGATGCGGGCGGTCCCACTGAAGCCTTCGGCGGAGCCCTTCTATAGTGCCACGAAACGCTGTACTGTGTGGTGGATGACGCATGCGGGCGGTCGCACTGGGGTTTTCGGTGGGGTTTCCTACGGGGTCACGAAACGCTGTACTGGGTGGTGGATGACGCATGCGGGCGGTCCCACTGGGGCCTTCGGTGGAGCCCCCAATGGGGCCACGAAGCGCTGGACTGGCTGGTGGATGACGCGCCCGGGCGGCCCCACTGGGGCTTTCGGTAGAGTTCCTTATGGGGCCAGGAAGCGTGTGAGGGGTGTGCCGAAATGGGTGGTGATGGTACGATGATGGATGGTGGTGGTGATGACGCCGATGATTTAGATAGTGGTAATGATGATGATGGTGACAATCATGGTGATTATGAGAATGATGATGCTGATGATGATGATGATGATGATGATGATGATGATGATGATGATGATGATGATGATGATGATGATGATGATGGCGACGATGATGATGATGATGATGATGATGATGATGATGATGATGATGATGATGATGATGATGTTGATGCTGATGATGCTGATGCTGATGCTGATGATGAGGATGATGATGATGATGATGTTGATGACGATGTCGATGATGATACTGGTGATGATGACGACGATGATGATGATGCTGATGGGAGGAGGGAGGAGGGAGAGGAGGAGGAAAGAAGGAAGGACGGAGGAGAACGCGGGTCGCTGCCTCTTCAAAACGAGGACCCAACAACGCAGGTTGGTTGGGAAACAGAGAGAAGGAGGAGCAGGGGACAGAAGAGGAGGAGGAAGAGGAGGAACAGGAGGAATGCGGGACGAGGCAGATGAGGAGGAGGAGGAGGAGGAGGAGGCGGTCTGGCCTCCCTCCGTTTGCCAGCTGTACGGGCGAGCTGCTCGGCGGCGAGAGGTGGCGCAGGTGGGGGGGGGAGGAGGCGACGGAGGTAGGGAGGGACGAGGGGAGAACTCAAGAAAGCTCTCAGCATCCAAGTCCTCACCAGGTCCACGTAACTCGATTACGAATTGAGAGGGAGGGGGCCCGCGGGGCAACTCAGCAGCCGTTGTCGGATCACACCCACAAGGCAGTTGGATTCGGGCGACAATCACACGAGTCCTCCTTTGTTTCAAAAAGTTGTGCCTTTGGGGGTCGGCTCGAATGATGTGTCCTCGTCTGCTTTTTCCTGGAGCAACGTCAGGGGCCAGCTCAAATTCTTGATCCACATGCGGCATGTAAAGCCTGCACAGGTCGTTCACCAGCCCTGGATTGTCCTCTGGGCTGAAGTCAGCTTCACACACGTCAGTATACATCCGTGCAATGGACGCAGCAATGGACGAGGCGAGCCTAGCACACATGTCGGACGGGTAATTTCTCTGCGCGCTGGTCCTGAAGACAGTCCGATCCCCAGACTTCTCCTTACCCTTGAGGATCTTCTAGGCTCCCGTGGGGAGAGTATGCCAGCCTTGCTTGGGTCTGTCCATGAGGCGTGCGGCAAGGCATTCCATGTGCATGCCAATTAGTCTGGTGGGCGCACGCCCATACTCCGCTGGGTCACGCTCCTTGGGCTAGAGCGTGCATTGGTCAAAGTTGGCCGTGACAGCGGCAGGCGACGCAGCGAGGGCCTTGAGGGGCTCCCGTTGAAAGCTGCTTGGAGCCTGTGGCCTCCAGTGGGCCGGGAGGGGATGCTCCATCCACCCAGACGTCCCAGCAACCGTGTGACAAGCCACTAGGCATATCCGATGCTGCACTAACGTGCCCCCCACTTGTAGTTGCAAGGCCTGCCTGTCCGTGACCCAGGGGACGCCCCAAAGCCAGTCATGTGTACGTAATGGGGGGGGGGGCCATCGAGCCATCTGGCCGCACTCCAAGTTTTACCGGGCCCCCCCCCAGTGTTCCATGCCCGTCTGGCCAGTATATGCTTCCCCCACTGTTGTATGGTACGTGCACGCATGAGGTCCCCTATGCGATGATCAATGACAATGTCGACACTGAGCATGATTATGTGATACTGCTCTCTGAGGTGCCTGACCGAACTGATCTGGATCTTAAGCTCGAGCTGCCTGAACACATAGTAGCTGCCCCAGAGCTAATTGACAGGGGGACATGCCAGGAGGACACGACGCGGAACGTCTCAAGGGACGCGCCAAGCAATGTGCCAAGGGACGTGCCGTGGGGACGCACCGCGGGACGTGCCAAGGGGACGCGCTACGGAACGTGCTGGGGACAAGCGTTTCGCTCGAGACATCCTGTAAATTCTCAGAATTCCTGCGCGCGGGACGCGGCACGCGCGAGACATCCTCGGAATTCTTGCGAGCGGGACGTGAAAACAAGCATTTCGCTTGAGACATCTTTTGGATTCTGGCCCCCAACGAGGCCCCCGGTCGAGACATCCCCGAATTTTGTAAAACCAGCGTTTCGCCAGAGACATCCTCATCAAATTTTGAAA